CAAAAATTTATTTTCCAAACTACAAAATAAACTTCAAAAGTCTCATCTCGTAGGGCCCCTTGGGCTAAATTTTTCCCTCACTGACTGTGTTTAATCTTCTTTGTCTCAAATCTCTTTAGTAAAAGCTTTAACTTCTTTGGTTTTTGGGCCCTTTTTTCCTTTTTCCACTTCGCCTAACCCCCCGCCCCTGGTATTTCCCTGATTAGCTCTTTTGATTCCTTTCGTCAATCTTTGCTTAGTAATTTTTCCTGACTTGTTTCCCCTTTTTCGTGGTGCTCTCCCCTTTCCCGCTCTTGTTAGTCCCGTTTTCCCCCAAAAACACCACCTTTTCCCCGCCCCTTACCAACTTGCCCCTTTTTTCTCTTAAATCTAAAAACTAATTTTGTCAAAACTTTTTCTGACAAAGGTAATTCGGTAGTTTCCTTGATTTGCGAGGGTTACCTCCGTAAAGCTGATGTTTTTGCTCTCTGAACTCACGCACCTACAAATCCCCTGTTTCCCAAACCCCCTTGAGCAACAAGAGGGAAATTTCCAAAAAAAAAAAAAAAAAAAAAAATAAGGACTCTCTTTCCCACCTCTGTCCTCCCGACTTTGGGCCTTGTTCAACGGTTTTTGTGGGCATCTTCCCCTTTTCTTTCCCCATTTCTATGGCCCCTTCCCCCAAAATCATTAAAAAACCTTGATATTCCCTTGTCCTATCATAACCTCTAGAGGTTCTGGGCTCTTATTCTCTTGCTTCTTGGGTGGCCAAAACCCCCACTCCCTTTTTTTTTTGGGACTTTTTCTCCTGCCCAAACCCCCGTTTACTTCAAACTTTTTGAACGGGTTTTGCTTTTCCCCTCAACCTTAAAATTCTTAGTTTTGACGTTGAGTCCTCTTCACCAATGTCCCCCCTTGATGATGTCCTTGATTTTTTCCCTTTGAGAGAAGGCCCAGAAGGGTTTCTTCATCTCCCCATCCCCACTATGTCTTTCTTGATCTGATCCGCCTCTTTTGTGGACTTAACTCCTTTTCCCTTCCCAAAAGGGGAAAAATTTTTCCCAAACCTTCGGTGTGCTATGGGCTTCTCCTCTCTCTTTCCCGTCCTTTCTTTTTTCTTTACATGGAAAAACTTCGAGGGGCTGTTCTTCTTCCTACCCTCATTTGCAACCTTCACTCGGGTTCCCCTATGTGGATGAAATTTTTTGCTCTGTGGCCCCATGACTCCAGTCTCTTCCCAACCTTTTCTTGAAAACTCTTAACAATCTTGCCCCTTCCTTTTAAATTTTAAAGCTGAATGGAATTAATTCCTTAATTTTCCCTTTTCCCTTTATGTCCCTGCCCCCGCTCAGGGAAAAGGTTTTTTTCCTTTTTCCCTTTTTCCGTTTTAAAAATATGCCCCCATGGCAAAGTACATTCACTACTTTTCCCACATCTTCCCCCGTCAAAAAAAGTGTTTTTATCTCCCTCTTTTTTCCGGTTTCCCTCCGCATCTGTGATCCTCAGTTCCTTTCCCCAGAAATTTCCACTCTTTTTTAATTTCCCTTCTCCCGTCTTGGCTACCCTTCCCATTTTCATAGAATTTTGCCCTTCACGTGGAAACGCCCAAATTTTTTCCTCCACCCAAAACTTTTACTTTATGGGAACCCCTTTTATCCTCCCTTTTCCCCACATTTCCGGGCTTTTCTAAATTTTTCAACAATTTTCCTCCGTCCCCCTTTGACAACAAGCTTTCCCCTTTCCGGGCCCGACTAAAACCTTCGCACTAATCTCGTTCATACCCCTCCTCCCTTACAATTGTTCCCCGGGGTCTACTCAAATTTTTGCCCTCCTGTCCTCTTCAACTTTGGGGGAAAAAATGGGCGGGTCTCTTTTTTGCCAACTTAGGGGGGCACAAAAAAAAGTTTTTAGGCTTGCCGACACTAACAATGCTCTTTTCTGTCACGTCAGAGATCATAGCCACCTAAATTTACTGGGGTTTTTGCTAAAAAATGTTTTTTTTCCCCATTCCAAATCGAACAGTCGCCGTTTAGTTGAATCCTTCTTATACACCCAAAATTTTTTCCCTTTTACGAACCTTTTGCCCTGGCTTCGTTTTCTGAAGATCCCTTTCCTTTTCCCCCCTACATTGTAAAATGCCCCCAAACTTTAAAAAACCCGTGACTTAAAACCCGAATCCCCAATTTTTTTTTTTTCTTCTTCTTCTTCTTTTTCTTCTTCCTCTTCCCCCTTTTCCCCTTTTCCTTTTCCCCCTCTGGGTTTCTTTCCCCTCTCCTGTCTCGTGTTTCCCGTTCCCTTTTTTATTTTATTTCACCATTCCCCCTTTTACGCACCTCGGTGCGCTTGCTCTCCCTCTGTGGGTTTTTATCTCTTGCCGTGCTTCCCCCTTTCCCTTTTTTTTGGGCTGGTCGTCTTCCTTATTTCCCACTTCTTAAACCCCTACCATACTTTCTACCTTTCTTCTTCTACTTTAAAATTTTCTGATGATTTAGACCATGTTTCGGCGTCTGGTTGGGCTTTGTTTTTGGAAATTTTTGCCCTCCAGTGGCTGGCCCCGGATGGCGGAAAAAGTCTACGGGGGGGGGAGGCCCCGGGGGTTTTTGCGTGTTCATTTCATCCTGTCGTATTATAAAACAATTTTTTGTACTACTAATACTACTAATTTCTACCACTTCTACAAAACCCCCCCACCTCTTCCTGCCTATATAAAAGCCGCCTGCTCCTTTTTCTGGTTTAGTGTGACTTTGTCAATGGTCCCCAAGGGCGGGGGGGCCCCCAAAAGTGTCGTAAGCTTCTGTCTTTTTTGAGGGGTTAGAAGACCGTTTAAATTCGGTTTAGAGCATAATTTTCCCCAAGTTTTTTTCCCTCCCAAAATTTTATACTTTTTGGGGTCATTATGATCGGGGGAAAAAAATTTTCTAAACATTCCTTTAAAAAAAAATAAATTTTTTTTTTTGGAAAAAAAAATTTTTGATCCTTTAGAACAAGTTTAGGAGAGGGCCTTTTTAACCCTGAAAGGTTTTAAAAGTCTTATTTTACGTTAATAAGACATTTTCATTTAAACCCCTGGGATATATTTTTTTTTCAAAAAAATTTTATAAGAAACACCTTAAATGGAGGGGGGGGTATTTGGGGGGGAGGGAAAACATTATACATGGAACCCCCCCGGGATTCGATGGGGATCAGTATTTTATAAATCCCGGGAATTTGATTGGAAACCCCGGATTTGATATGATTCGAAAAAGACCTGCCCTGTTTTGGCCCCAAAATTTTCCCCGGTTTTTTCCAGTGTTTTCAAGCCACCATGTGCGCGCATTTTTAAAGGGTAATTCAAATACATTCCCCTTTTTTCCCATATTATCACTGGGGTTTTTTGGGGCTTTTTTTTCTGCCCAAAAAAAGTCACCATGGGGCCCCCAAAAAAGCTTCTAGTGCCAAAACCCCCGGTTTTAAAAAAAGGGGAGAATTTTATGGGGAAAATTTAAAAAAGATTTTGGAAAAGGGTTTTTTGGGCCTAAAAATGAGAAGCCTATGCCATTTTTGGAATCCATTGTGTCTACTTCAAAAATTAAGGAAATGTGTGCACAGTGGGTTGAAGTGCAAACCTTTATGGATGAAAATCACCCTAACACAGCTATTGCAAGTCGTGCTGGTGACTATTACAATGACAATGTTGTGGCCCATTTTAGATAAATCGTAAAGGAACGGGAGGTACAGAGCTCTATGGACAGATTTGTTGTGTGACAGAGGTCCAGTGACTCTCAAGCTGGTCCTAGTGGCATTAAAAGAAGAAGGGAAGTAACCCCAGAAAAGGACTTGCTACCTCAAGTCCTAATGGAAGGGGATTCCCCTTCTAAACACTAACACCTCTCCCCTCCTCCCATCCCATCAATCATCACCAGATCTTCATTAAAGGTAAGTGTCAATTATTTTACTGTTATTGTAATCATTCTATTACATTAAACTTAATATTTCATGTAGTAAAATTTTTTTTTTCATACTTTTGGGTGTCTTGCACGGATTAATTTGATTTCCATTATTTCTTATGAGGAAAATTGATTCGGTTTTCGATATTATCGGTATTCGATGAGCTCTCAGGAACGGATTAATATCAAATACCGGGGGTCCACTGTATTTTCTCTGGTTCAGCATCAGAGAAAATGTGTATGAATCTGCATTGGCCTAGTCACCCCTCTTAACACAACACTTGTTTAAAATTCTCGGCATGAATTATTCATAACTCCCTTTGTTTATGATGACATCTAGAGGTAGTTGTTAGAAACGATTAAACTCAGTGAACATGGTATGTCGATGGTAATAATATGGCTCTGGGCTGCATTAAATATCATGTAGCTATGTGGGTAGGTGTAGGTATGTAGCCCAGCCGGACTACATACCTACATCTACCGGCTACCTACGCCTGACTTCCTACACATAAGTACTACTGACCTCTCGCCCTACATTAAGACTACAAATATTTTAAGGTAAGTAATGAATGTACTGTTTATGTATTTTACTTTTTGTGTTTTAGTTCCTAGTTCTATTACTAACTAAATATAAGTTAGTGTAAACTTGACAACCCTATGCCTGTTGTGGAATCTATTGTGGCTTTGGGGGAAGTCCATGAGGTTGGATGTGAGTGGCCAGGATGTGGAAGAGTTGGTGGATGACCACAAGGAAGAGCTGACCACTGAAGAGCTGCAACACTATAGTTATTCTCTATAAAATGTATTTTTTGCTAATATTTTTGGGTGTCTGGAATGGATTAATTGGATTTACATTATTTCTTATGGGAAATATTGCTTTAGTTTTCATCGAATTTGGTTTTCATCACTCTGGAACGAATTAAAAACGAAAACAGAGGTTCCACTGTATATTCACAAAACAGTACTAAAGCAATATAGGTCACTAATATTTGTATAATCTAGCTGAACATGGTCTGAACTGCATATGCTGATTACATATGCGTATTCTTCATCAATATTCAAAATGAACTAATGAGGGTGCAAGAAGAAAATACATTCATGGAATAAATTTTATTACTAAATTTTTATTACTAAAATTTATAAGTATACTTAGGTGGTTTAGATATTGAAGGCTTGGCAGGAGGGTGACCGTACTTAAGAGAAAGGAGGAACAATGGAGCTGGCCGTTTGTGGTAGTTAAGCAAGGCTAGGAACCTCTGCACAGCTGATGCAGTCAATTGCACATCCATGTGCCGGGCAAATTTTATTGTTTCTTCTGCTCCACTTAGGTTTCCCATATCACCTGTTGCAAATTGTAAAAATTATTTTGGTGTTACCTATTTTAGTCTTAAATAAATTTCTTTATCCACTTATTACTAATTATCACAAAGCATCCTCAACCCTGCCAGTTTGCCTTCAGGAGAAACAAAAGCACAAATGATGAAATAATAAAAATGCTAGACCTACTTTACACAGCACTTGAAAAAAAAACAAATACCCACTTGGACTCTCTATCGAGTTTAAGAAAGCTCTTGATACAGTAGACCACAGCATCCTATTCCTCAAGCCTGATCATTACGGTATAAGAGGCCATGCACTTGCATACATCATTTTGTACCTTACTAATAGAAAGCAATAAGTCTCTATCAAGGACACAACCTCCTCAACAAGACCCCTGGATACTGCTGCACCACAGGGAAGCATTCTTGGCCCCCTCCTTTTCCCTTTTATGCATCAACGACCTTCCAAGCGTATCACTACTTACGCCTATTCTCTTTCCTGATGACACAACTTTTGTCATCTCCCACCCTAATCTAGCCTCACTTAATACTATGGTTAATGAAGAGCTCACTAAAATAGCAACCTGGATGACTGTCAATAAACTTACACTTAATATAGATGAAACCTTTTACATTATGTTTGGGAGTAGAGCAAGTGAGGGCCAACTAAACATTATGTTTAACAACATCCTTATTAGCTGCTAAACATAGAAAATTCCTGGGTTTATACTTTGACAGCAACCTGAAATTCAACTGCCATATCCAACACAACAAAAAAAGTATCTAAAACAGTTGGCATTCTCTCAAAGATACGTTACTATGTACCACAAACAGCACTACTTACATTATACTATTCATTGATCTACCCCTACCTCACCTATGCTATTTGTGCCTGAGGTTCCACAACGACAAATCACCTAAAGCCAATAATAATCCAACAAAAAGCTGAAGTGCAAATGATCACACAAAGAACTGCTAGACAACACATCCCCCCATCCACTTCAAAGATCTAAACCTATTCACTGTACAAAACATTCACTCATAATACTGTGCAACCTACATTGACAAAACAATCAATTTTAATATAAAGCCTGACCTGAAGTGTTTTCTTGACAATTGCAATAGGACCCATAGACACACTAGACAAAAAAATCTCTATAACATTCCCCTTGCCAGGCTAAATCTTTTCAAAAACTCAATGTACATAAAAGGGCCCAAAATCCGGAACTCTACCAGAAATATCCCGAACCATTGGCTCAGCTAGCAATTTTAAAACTACAGTTAGAAAACACCTTATCTCCTTAACCTATCTCAGTCCATCAGAAATACATATGTAAAAACTATATGTGCATTTGTTCAATATGAACACAGGTAAAACATTATAATCGATATATACTTACTAGGCCTGGTTACAGACCAGGCCACAGGGGCGTTGGCCCCCTAAACTCTCTCCAGGTATACTCTCAATATCTGTAATCCTCTCAAATGGTAATCATTTCAGTGTGTCCACCTTAGGTTAATAATCAAAACTGTTATTCTTCTCTATCAAACTTATTAAAGGCATATAGCATGATCTAACAGAATATTTAATTCTCTTGTATTCAATGACCATATGTACAATTACTGCATTTGTTATTGCCTTATTAATCTTAAGTTAGTCTCAAGTCTGCCCAAAATGATCTGCATATAAAGAGGCTTTGGGTATGCTGGAAGTGATGTCTAATGCCTTATATGCTGCTGGAAGTGATGTCTGATACCTTATATACCACTGGAATGTCTTATATACTGCTGGAAGTGATGTCTGATACTTTATATACTACTGGAAGTGATATCTGATACCTTATATACTGCTGGAAGTGATGTCTGATACATTATATACTGCTGGAACCGATGTCTAATATCAAGACTTTTAAATTATTCTACCTAAAATTTTATATTTTATACAATGAAAAGAACAACAAAATTTCTAATAAAAAGTATTACCCCCATTAACATAAACTTACACTGCAATTTTAATAGTATGCTAGTGACAGGAGAATAGGATTTTGATAGTTGAAAGTGAAGCATAAGTTGTAAAATTCGGTACAATAGATCAGTATCTCCATCCCACGTAGCCCTCTGTACCATGCCATCAAGCTTACGTTGCAGCATCTTAATAAGGCCAGGATGCTTCTCTAGCAATTCTTCAGACATCTAGGAAAGAGAGATCAATTAAGCAAGAGACATCAACTCAACTATTGACTACAGTCATGCTGATGTTTCTTGAAGGAAAAAATTTTAAGTATTACAATTGAAACATTCATTATGACAGCTAGTATCTGTAAAAAGATTAAGCTTTTTTAACATAAAGCGTAGCTTCAAACAAGGCTTAAGGTCATTTATAAATATAAAATGTTATGGATACTTGAACCAAAGCTCAACATATCAATATATATTATTAACGACAGCATTTTTTTTTAACGTCGACTTTCTTCCACTGAGGCAGGGCGACCCAAAAAAGAATGAAACACTTTCACCATCATTCACACATAATCACTGTCTTTGCAGAGGCACCCAGATATGACAGTTCAGATGTCACTCCAAACAGCCAATATCATCAGTAGCATCTAAGATGATCTAATAATAATTTATTTATTTTTTTTTTAACACATCGGCCATTTCCCACCGAGGCAGGGTGACCCAAGATGAAAGAAAAAACTTTCATCATCATTCAACACTTTCACCATCACTCATACATAATCACTGTCTTTGCAGAGGCACTCAGATACGACAGCTTAGACGTCCCTCCAAACAACCAATGTCCCAAACCCCTCCTTTAAAGTGCAGGCAATGTACTTCCCATTTCTAGGACTCAAGTCCAGATAACCGGTTTCCCTGAATCCCTTCACAAAATATTACCCTGCTCATACTCCAACAGCTCGTCAGGTCCCAAAAACCATTCGTCTCCATGCACTCCCATCTTACACACTCATGCATGCTTTCTGGAAGTCCAAGCCCCTCCCCCACAAAATTTCCTTTATGAGACAAACAAAAGACATCAGCAATCCTACCATCATGTAAAACAATTACAGGCTTTCGTTTTACACTCACTTGGCAGGACGGTAGTACCTCCCTGGGTGGTTGCTGTCTACCAACCTACTACCTATATATACGCATATTTGTACTCTGTAATCATATAAGAGGCTATATAGAAACGAAGGATTTTTCTCTTTTGTTGCTGCAGCACTCTTTTGGGCATTAGTGTCACCTTCTTTAGAGGCTCTATGGTGTCACCCAGGGCACCCCCCCTTTACGACGCCACTGTTGTCCACTAACCTTTGCTACTTTTCTTTAAAATCCTCCAAAAGCACAGTATCATTAGCAAAAGTAACTGGGTCAACTCCCATTTTGTATTGATGTGGGTAAAAATTTACAAAAATATCTCATGGATCCTAAAATTTGTAGATATAGTATAAGGATTTATGGAAGGACTGTAAGCAAATAAGACACTGCCTCCATAAAAAATAAGTGACATTAAATCTCATTTCTATTTAAAGAAACACTAAATATAACAGATATAAAGAGGAGTGACACTTGCCATCTGAAGTCTGTAGAGTGAGCTAGAGAAACTGATACTCCACAATGAGAGAGCAGGAGCTAGCCAACCCAGCTCTTCGGCCAAATTGTTAACAAACTTCAGAACCTGAAAGATAATGACATTATTATTAGTAGTAGTAGTAATAATAGTCATTAAAAATAGTAGTAGTAATACTAGTAGTAGAAATAGTAGTAATAACGGCAGTACAGTGGTACCTCAAGTATCGGGCGAAATTTATTCCAAAAGGCTGTTCAAGTGCCGTTACCGTACAAATTTATTCCCAAAAGGAATAATGTAAATTAGATTAGTCTGTTTCAAACCCCCAAAAATACACTTACAAAAGCACTTACAAAAATACACTTACATAATTGTTCGAGTTGGGAGCTGTTTGAAATTCAAGGTACCACTGTAGTGGTAACAGTAGTAGTAGTAATAGTATTATCAGTAGTAATAGTAGTAGTAATAATAGTAGTAGTAGTAATAATAGTAGTAGTAATAATAGTAGTAGTAATAATAGTAGTAGTAAAAATAGTAGTAGTAAAAATAGTAGTAGTAAAAATAGTAGTAGTAAAAATGTTATGGGTGGAGTTAAAAGATAAAGAATCACACACAAAGTGGGAGTTGTCACAGTTGCTCTTTGCTGATGACACTGTGCTCTTGGGAGATTCTGAAGAGAATTCAGAGATGGTGATGAATTTGGTAGGGTTGAAAAGAAGAAAAATTAAGGATGAATACAGGAAAGAGTAAGGTTATGAGATAACAAAAAGATTAGGTGATGAAAGATTGATATCAGATTAGGAGAGAGTATGAGAGAGGTAGTATTCAGATATTTGGGAGTGACGTGAAGTGGTTTTGGGTCAATGAAAGATGAAGTGAATCATAAGAACTGATGAGTGAAAAAAGAGTGAGTGGTGCACTTAGGAGTCTTGTAGAAAAAGAACTTTGTCCTTGAGGCAAAGAGGGGAATGTATGAGAGTATAGTTTTAACCAACGCTCTTAATGGGTGTGAAGCAATGGGTGATGAATGTTGCAGGAGAGAAGGCTGGAGGCAGTGGAGATGTCATGTGCTGAGGGAATGTGTGGTGTGAATATAATGCAGAAAATTTTCGTAGTTTGGAAGTTAGGAGAGGTGCGGGATTACCAAACTGTTGTCCAGAAGGCTGAGGAAGGGTTGTTGAGGTGGTTCGGACAGTAGGGTAGAAAAGTTGAAAAAAGAAATGACTTCAAGAGTGATCACTGTAGTTGAACGAGGACGGGCCCGGCCTGGAAAGGTTGGAGGGAGGGTAAAGGAGGTTTTGTGTCGAGGGCTTGGACTTCCAGCAGGCATCGTGGCGTGTTTGATAGGAGTGAATGAGCAATGGCTTTTTAAACTTGAAGTCTGTTGGAGGTGAGCAAAGTAACATTTATGAAGGGCATTCAGAAACCGTCCAGGCCGGACTTGAGTCCTGGAGATGGAATACAGTCCTGCACTGAAGGAGGGTGTTAATGTTGCAGTTTAAAAACTGTAGTGTAAGCACCCTTGGCAAGACAGTGATGGTGAATGATGGTTGAAGTTTTCTTTTTCGGCCCACCCCTGCATTGCGTGGGAATCGGCCCATGCGTAATAAAAAAAAAAATAATAAAAATAGTACTAAAAAATAGTAGTAGTAAAAAATAGTAGTAAAAATCCTAGTAGTAACAAATAGTAAAAACTAGTATAGTAGAAATAGAGTAATAAAAATAGTAGTAATAGTAGTACAGTGGACCCCGGTATTCGATATTAATCCGTTCCTGAGAGCTCATCGAATACCGATAATATCGAAAACTGAATCAATTTTCCTCATAGAAATAATGAAAATCAAATTAATCCTGCAAGACACTCAAAAGTATGAAAAAAAATTTTTACTACATGAAATATTAGTTTAATGCAATAGAATAATTACAATAACAATAAAATAATTGACACTTACCTTTAATGAAGATCTGGTGAAGATTGATGGGATGGGAGGAGGGGAGAGGTGTTAGTGTTTAGAAGGGGAATCCCCTTCCATTAGGACTTGAGGTAGCAAGTCCTTTTCCGGTTACTTCCCTTCTTCTTTTAATGCCACTAGAGACCACTGAGAGTCACATGACCTTGTCGCACAACAATCTGTCCTTAGAGACCATACAATAAGTAGTCAGGCGGCCGAGAGTGTTCACCCCCCAGCATACAAAGGGATTACAACAGACCCCTGGCAGTTCTTCAAGCTGGCACTGGACAAGCACCTAAAGCGGTTCTGACCCGCCGGGTGTGCTCCCACGTTGGTTTTGTGAATTCCAGCAGCTACACCTGGTTTGAATCAGGCTCTGATCCACCGAGGCCTGGGCATGCGGCCGCTGGGGCGTGACCCCCGAAACTCTTCCAGTAAACTCCAGGTAATAGAGCTCTGTACCTCCTGTTCCTTTATGAGTTGTCCAAATGGGCCAAACATTGTCATGTAATAGCTGGTTAGGGTGTTTCATCCATAAAGGTTTGCACTTCAACCACTGTGCACAATTTCCTAGAATTTTTGATATGCACAATGTATTCACAACTGGTATAGGCTTCTCAGGTAGCCCCAAACCCTTCAAAATCTTTCTTAAATTCATACTAATCTCACCCTTTTACCACAGGGTTGGCACTAAAGCTTTCATGGGGCCATGTGACTTATTTTGCAGAAACAAGCACCAAACACAGTGATAATATGGATAATATGGAATGTACCAAATGTATCCTTAGATGCGCGCACACTGGCTGGCTTGTAAACACTGGCACACATGGGGCAGTTCAGGCCACATGTGGACAGGTCTCGTACGAATCGTTTCGAATACCGGGTTTTCAATCGAATACCGAGGAAAATTTTTTGCGATATAATGCATCGAATACCGGATTTATCGAATACCGATGCCATCAAATACCGGGGGTCCACTGTAGTAGTATTGGTGGTGGTAGTAAGTAGTAGTAACAGCAGTAGCTGTAATAGCAGTAGTAGTAATAGTGATAGAATTATGTATACACAAAAATAAGAGACCTGTTAGAAACAAAATAAAAAATATAGTACAGTACTGTAACTTTTTTTTTTTTACCACAGATATCTTCCCATCAAAGTAGTGTGACCCAAAAAAAGGAACACATTCATTATAAACCATTCAACAGCTGTCTTGCCAGAAGTGTTTGGCCATCACCCTTCAAATACCTCTTCAAAATGCAACATTCCCCCCCAAAAAGTAAGCAAATCAATAAATAAATGAAGTAATTACCAGTTGTTCATGTTCTTCATTGTTGGAACTGAGAACATGATAAATAACAAAAGTGGTAGTATCCTTGACCTTCTTCAGTCCCCGAGGATGACTGAAGTACAGCTGAGAAAGCTGCTCCAAGCTTCCTTTCACATCTCCAGCATAACACAGGGCACTGGAAAGTATTAGTGTATTACACTACCACCTTAAAGAGTGCAAAAGTGTTCAAAAACAGGCTGAAATGTTTACAACACTGGTTAATACAACAGAATAATAATAACAATAATAATAATAATTACAGAGTGGGTATGAGGTACTGTCATTGATGTTGCAAAGATAAGGTTGGAGGCAATGGTATGTATAAGATCAATTTATACAGAAAATAAGGATTGAAAAAATGGAACATTAGTGAGAAACATTATTCAGCGAGTGGAAGATTTTTGTTATGATAGAACATTTTATAAAAGATGGATTGATATAAACTTTTGTTTAGGCTTCATACTGCACATAATATGAAAATTTTACAATACAGTGGAACCCCGGATTTCAGCCGTAATCCATTCCAGAAGGTCGGCCTAAATCCGAAAAGGCCAAAAACCGAAGTAATATTTCCCATAAAAATTAATGTAAATACAATTAATCCATTCCAGACACCAAAAAATATTAACAAAAAATACATTCTTTTAAAGATTAACTATAGTTTTACATACACAAAACAATGAAAACTAAATAAAATGACTAATGAAATGGATAAATGAACATTTAACATCACACTAACCTTTATTGAAGATTCTTGTTGGCGTATGGAAGACAGGGAGGAGGAGAGAGGGAGGACTGATTATTGTTTGGAAGGGGAATCCTCCCTCCATAAGGACTTCAGTTATCAAGTCCCTATCAGGGGATACTTCAATTCTTTGTCTTTTATTGGCACTAAGACCAGCTTGAAAGTCACTTCACCCCTGTCGCACAAAAGAACTGTCCAGAGTGAGATTGTTGATTTGGATTTCCCATACATCCTGGCAAGCTTGAGCACACGTGCACCACTTTCGTACTTTGTTACAATTTCTTTCTTGAATTCTATCATGTTTCTCACTTTCTTGACCAAAGGGTTGGCACTAGGAACATTCTTTGGGCCCATGGTGGCTTATTTCGCAGTCACACTCCATAAACAACCACAAAAAACAATGGATTATAACGAAATGTTTGAATGAATGCGCAGAGTGTTGCTCACTCACCAAGACACACAGCCAGACTGACTCACGCACGTGGTGTGGCGGGCGGACACGTCCCATACAGCCGATTTCCGAGTTGCTGGCCGAAATCCAGAACAGAATTTCGGCCAAAAAAGCGGCCAAAATCTGATTTGGCTGATATCCAGGGGTCCAATGTAATTTTATTTAGCAATTATGTGGAATTTAACCTAGGCTTGCCCAATAAAGTGTCAAATTATGGAACTTATTTCAGTGGGGGATCCTTGAGTTTACCAGAAAGATGTAAACCTAAGGTGGACAGAAAGAGTGTACAGAGTCTCCCATTAGCCTTTTTGATTTCGGTTACATAGATCTACATCAATGTCACTTGCGGAGATCTATGCATAATTCACAACACCATCAAATATTCTGTGCATGGCAACTTTTGCTTTAGACATAAGAGAATGGATTTGTGTGGCAGGTGTGCACAGTATAAAAACAAAATCCTCTCCCACCACAATTCGGTTAAAATGGCAACTTTGGGATACTTTTTTAAAGAGGTTTTTCATTTTTTATTGGCAGGTTCTTGGTGTTATCAGATAGACTAGAAAACACACTAGCAGAATACAGAAAATTCTGGTCAGTTTCAGACCAGAAGTAGCCTTCAGTAGTATTAATGTTGGTAAAATTACTGACAATATGTTAGGTAAAAGGACACAAGTGAAACTTGTGTCCTTTTACTAGGAAAATTGTCAAAAATCGTCACTTTCCAATATTTTGAGGCCTAATGAAGGCTGTTAAGTAAAAGGACACACGTGAAACTTGACAAAGCTCTTGGAGAGCGAAACGTTGCCACAATAAAATGTCACTTGTGTCCTTTTACCTAACAGCCTTCAGTAGGCCTCAAAATATTGTAAACTGATGATTTTTTGACAATTTTCCTAGTGAAGGGTAGGGGCTCCCTACCCTTTCCACCCCAGTCTGTTTTATGGGTTTTTACTATGTCTGCTTCAATTATGGGAACAGCCAAAACCATGAATGAGAATTCTTGGTTAAGGTTTATTAATCAAGAAATAGGAAAAAAAACTCAAATTTTTGCAGGACAATGGACTGAAACTGAAAAGCAAGTGTTATATAGGAGAGGCTTGGGGACATGATTAATGAAGAAAAGGAAGGTTGCTTTAATAGTTGGAATGACTCACAAAATCGTAATGACACGATTGCAAACAAACCATACCCCGGCCGGGATTGAACCCACGGTCAGAGTGTCTCAAAACTCCAGCCCGTCGCTGGAATGCCTACAGTGTTTGTTTTGAGCTCTGTATTTAAATTAAAATTTTCTGAAAATACTCTAGTGTAAAATTGGACAAATTACTAACTTCTAAGTACAGCCTCTCCTCTCCTCACTTAGCGACATACTCGTTTACCAACACCTTGGACTTACGATGGGCTCTCTGACCAACAGTCATACCTAAATAATGTATATTAGAGCTGATTTCCTCTATTCTGTTTATTTCAATATGTACAGTACACTACTGTATAAACATTTAAAAATATACCAAAAATTTTATAAATGGTGCAAAGGTGACATTAAAACAATATAAAAAATGGTTGACACAAACTCACTACAATTAAAGTATGCTCCTCACTTAGCGACGCACTCTTTGAACGATGTGGTCTTAGGGATGGAACTCCATCGTTAAGTGAGGAGAGGCTGTACTTAATAGCGCAGTTCTGATGGCTGAATGGGCAGTTTCTTGAAATCAATGTATAGGACCGAAGCATACTAGTACAAAAGCCAGTAATTGGGTTATTTTTGACCACTGGAATTGGCTATAATGGTCCTCGAAGAAGATAAAATCACTGTTGCATAAAGCACTCTCTGACCTCCAACTTCATGCCTGCATAATTCTGTGAGTATTACATCAAATTTTCCATTTTTGAAGGGGCTTTCAATTTGGGAGATGACAACAGGGAAAGGGTTAAGTGTTGAAAGAGATTTTGAGAGGAAGGGCTTGAGCATCCAGCAGGTACATGTGAGCAAAGTTATCTTCGAAACCCACTGTGGGAACAAATGTTTATAACAAAATATTGGTCCCTTGAAACTAGATTTGGACCAAACTAGTTTCAAAAATCTTCTTTTGGAACCTAACTGTTTCTTATTAAGTTGTAAACCTGACTTACCTTGCAAGGTAATATTTGAAGCCCATATGTTGGACAGATTCCTCAGGGTACATCTCCTGAGCAAGCTCCTGCAACTTGTGTATAACACCTACTTGATTGGACTTGCTGGTCCGAGCACATAATCTTTGTAGCACAGCAAAGGGTGGCTGAATGTTCTCTCTGTCGTAAAGTATTCTTATTACATATTTGGAGAGGTACTAAACTCACAGGGGGCATACAGCAACAGGGAAATGAGAAATAGGTTTGATCCAAGGATGGATATGGTTGTTCCACTCTTTGGATGAAGAGCCTTTCACCAGCAAAAATGACACCCCCTTGAAGTAAGCACAATATACAGAGTTTAATATTTGTATCTTAAATAATATGGGCTAGTGTGAAGAAATTATCATTCAATTATAATCAAATCATCAATATGTTTTACTAAACTGACTTCCACATTCTGATCAAAACAAGTTTTGAGAATTGAGCATATGCATGTTCTCTTGCAAATACTACTGATAAAGCTATCCACACTATATAAATCTAAGATTTATGATTTTTTTTTTCATTCTTACCTGACACAATTTTCTACCTCTTTTAGTTCCTTGGTTTGCTGTGCAGATCTAACAAGGTCATTCAGGAGAAAGAGTTCTTTGCTGCTTAGTATCTTTGGTTGTTCTAAATTGCTCTTAAATGCCATAAAATTTACATCAGCACTTTTATTCCCCATGGTTGATGACTCAGATGTCTTACTGTTCATTTTGTCAAACTGATCTATACCTTTAGTATTATTCAGAGATGTATTTTTCTCAATTTGTGCACTAAGTTTTGCTGACTCCTTTTCCACTGCAAACACATTAAGAGATCTTAAATCTGTATTGTTATTGTTACAAGTGGTATTTGAGTCACAATCAATAATGTTCTCATTCTTGTTTATGTCAGTGAGTGACTCTTTATCAAAGCTACTGTTATATTTATTGTTTCTATACTTATTAGCTCTCACACATCCTTTTTTCCCATCCCTGATTTTCAAAAATGTATTTTGAAACTGATGTACTATCAAATCCAATTGTTTATCAGTTCTAAGCTCCCTGTCTTTGTTATATATTGTAGATGGACTGGCATCACTGTGTACATGACGAAATGATGTACAGCTGCCACAGGTTCGACCCCATCTCTGCACTAGGATGTGCATACGTGATAAACTCCTCTGCTGCATTCCTGAAAAATTCACAGAAAGTAATAATTTTCATGAATACATTTTTTGCTACATACTAAGTTTTTAATGTGTACACAAAATTTTTATAGTTATTAGGAAGGATTACACAAAATTTTTATAGTTATTAGGAAGGATTACACACAGAGGGGTTATACAATGCCTGGAGAATGGGAAGTAATTAGGTTTCATCCAAAGAAGAGTATACCCGGAGAGGGTTTAGCAGGTCAACGCCCCCACAGCCCGGCCTGTGACCAGAAGCTCTAATTTCTTGTATAAGAGCCTTTCACAACAATTAAGGCATCCCCTTAAATGGTAGAATATTCTAAAATATCAAAATCTCCTTGATTATAACTAAACGCATTTTTTTGCTAAGCATTATAAGAATTAATAATACCATGTTTTCTCACTCAATCAGGTACTGGATGACAACTGTCTTCCTGCATGCTGATGCCAACACACTAAACAACTTAAGTAATGAACTTAAAAGAAATTCATACATGGATGTTAACCAACAAACTTACACTTCATATTTAAAAATATAATACAACAGCCCTAAAACAATATCTTAAGACTGGTCAAGATTAAGGATGGTCTAGGATAGAAAAGGCATACAGTAAAGTAGCTAGGTCATAACTTGACTGACATGGTTCTGGTAAACAAGGATACCTTGTAAATAATGTAGAGATTACAGTAGACCTTGGCACAGAGAATTGCAAATCTATAACTTTTAATACAGTACATGTGTTACATAAAATAATGATAAGAAGGTAGTAGGTTGGTAGACAGCAACCACCCAGGGAGGTACTACCGTCCTGCCAAGTGAGTGTAAAACGAAAGCCTGTAATTGTTTTACATGATGGGGGGATTGCTAGTGTCCTTTTTTTGTCTCATAAACATGCAAGATTTCAGTTGTACTTGAAGCCCAAAGAATTTTTACTCCCCACAGAGAAATTAGATGAAATAAACATGATCTCAAATGGATGAAGAGAAGACCAAAACATCTCTTAGGGGAACAGAGAGGAATTTAACCCAACCCATATAAAATAATTAATACATATGCACATAATTTTTTAAAGACATTAAAAATGGACTAAGAAACAGTGGCAAAGGGGGTTTTCAATGCAAAAAAGAGTAAGTCCTTTACCCTTATGAATGAAATTAAGCAGTAGTATAATCTGAATAATAAAGAACTTGACATACAGTGTGAAAAAAGGGCCTGAGAGTTTTATTAATTTAAAAATCTGAAGCCAAGATGGCATACCTAATTTATAAGCAACAAGAATCCAAAGGTTATTCCACAACACTATACCTCATTAGTTAGCCTCATTTAGATTATTCAGCAAAGTTCTCATTGCCATATTACAGAATGGATATAATTGAATTGGAGAACCTAGAATGAATGACAACATTTATTCACTCTATAAGGAATTGCGAGCATAGAATCTACACTCTCTTGAAAGGCAAAGTATGAGAGAATATTTTATTCAACTTATTAATGCAAAGGCTTAGTAACACAGGATCACCCAATAAAGCCAGTATGTCTCACATATTTCCACTGGGGGTATTTGGTCCTCTTCCCAGAATGCATCACAGCTCGATTGCTAGCACATTCAGCTCATGGTACGGCTGGAAAACATATATCTAACCAAGAAAAACTAAAAAAACAACGGATTCAGTTTGAATAAATTCAGATTTGGAAAGGATATTGGAAAGAATTGGGTTTGAAACAGAGTTGCAGGCAAGTGGGACAATGTTCCAAGCTCAAAAATAATGGTTAGACAAACATACGAGTGAGAAACATTGGATATGAGAAGGACCTGCCTAGTATGGGCAAGCAGGCCTACTAAAAAATTCCCGTTCTTATATAATGTGACTTATTTCCACTGGATTCAATCTTGGATTGGGTGAGACCTATGGCCAAATCTTATAACTCCTGTTGCTGTTGTTCCTCTAGTAAGTAATTAAGTAAGCTTACTCAGATACAGGTACACATAAATACAGTTACATAAATTATCAAACATAGCAGCATATGTGTAGATGACCTAGGATAACCCAAGAAAGTCAAAGTGACTGAGGCTAGCAGACTTATGAGTTGTGTCCTAGTAAAGCATTATTATTATTATAATCAAGGGGGAAGCGCTAAACCCGGAGGATTATACAGCGCCTGGGGGGGATGTGGAAGGCATTCAGGCTTAATTCGGGGAACTGAAGCACAGATCCAATTCCCTAAATCAAGAGCCCTCACCAAACATCAAGGAACTTCCTTGAGGGGCCTAGTAAAGCAACACCCCAATGGAAATAAAGTCACTTTGCCGGGACCTTTTTGGCAATCCTAGGTAAGTTACACATATGTTACTATCATGCAATAAGATCACAGTAAAACAGATTATATCTTTACAATACAAAATATCCACTGTGAAAAGTTTAGTGAATCTCCAAGCACTTGGAAATTCACTGTTTTTTTCACAGTGGTTTTATTTTGTATATTACTATGTATGATAATTGTACTAATGTGTACCTATACCTAAATAAACTTACTTATTTACTAGCACTGCTCAACTTAGCATATTCATGGGGAAGAAGTGAACCTGTAGGGGTCATACAGCACCTGAGCAGAATGATGGGCAATGATTTTCGATCCAAGGAATGAGAGGATAGGTCAAATACCTTGGATCAAGAGCTTCTCACCAGCAATTTACTGTAGAGGTTTCCTCTCCTCCCTGTGACTGTAACAACTCTAATGTGTTATCACTTTCTTTTTTTTTTCTTTGTTGGGATTATCAGGGCCACTGACAGCAGACGCTGTATCGAACCCGGTTTCTAGATGGTACCAGGAAGATTTGTTGCCCAAGGCTGGGCGATGAGAGAAAAGGAACAAAAATTCCTTTGGAAATAGAGATAGAAACTTGAAGTTTACAATTAGATCCGGTGGACGTCCTTGCCAAGCCCCAGCAGGAGAGGGACGCCCACACTCACACCTGAGTTCAGTAACCGGCTTCCCACTAAACACCGATAATTCAAGTCTCTTCTCAAAGTTCACTTACTCACTCAAAACCAAAAAAATACTGAATAACTGAACCTTATAAATTGTATATCCAAAATGTTTACTCACAATTATATCACATAAATGTTAAACCTGGGGACCCAATCTAACTTTGTTATTTTTTTAATACACTACCTAACAGAATACTCCATTCTACTGAATGAACAGCAATGCAGTAAACCCATATGACCTGTCTTTGTAATACTCATTTGTGCTTTATAGTTATCTGTTTAAAATTTAATGTCTTATCACTGATTTCATCAATGCTTAGTTAATCTTAAGTTAATTTTAAAGCCGCCCGAAATGCTATGCTATAAGTGGCTTTGGCATGCTGCTCTTCCCTGTATTTTTTTGTACCTCTGTATGTATGCTAAAATTTCTAAAAGAATTTTTCCGCAGAGCGGAAAAAATGGAGCTGGCTAAAGTAAGTCGATGTACAGGTGCCCCTCCTGTAGAGTGCCCGGGGGGCCCAAAATAGATGAGGACAAGCGTCCCAGTGAGGACGGGGGAAATTTGTCACTGATACTCAGGCGAGGAGAGACGTTCACACCCGACGAAGGCTGACGCAGAAGTCTAGTGCGTAATCACTCTCACTGTCTGCATCCACTGAATCGTTTTCACCAGTGATCATTGCTGGAAGTTATCCACTTTTACTTCAAAGATTTCCATGGGCCCCACAGACGCCTGCTGATGAAGCCCAAGTTGGACCACCTGCTGTTTAAGACCAAGACGGGGCGCCTGCTGATGAAGATGCGAAGTGAGACGACACTCCTTCCCCGGGGGGTTTACCGCAAGAGAGAGATGTTACCCTCCATCCGGAGTAAGTTTATTCAGGTATACACAAAAAAACAGTTACATAGATTATCATACATAGCAGCATATGTGTAGAGACCCGGGATAACCCAAAAAAAGTCAGAGGTGACTTATTTCCATTGGGTCCTTTTACCTTATTATTATTTAAAATAAAGGTTATAATATTTTTTTTTATTCTATAATGAAAGATAACATCTTATTATCATACTAAAAAGACTATTTTACTACACGAGGGTCATTAAGACTATCAACAATACGAGTGTGGAAAATTGCATTTATCTGTATGTATAATTATGTACATAACAATAAATGAGCATGTAATTATTATTTATCAGTTAGACAAGTAAGGGAAATTTGGGACACTAGGTCGCAAAAATGTCCCCCTTCGATACCCACCACTGTCATATCCACAAGTTGCTCTGGACCTATTAATTAAATGAATTATCATCACCAGGAATTCTGGTAATATATAAATTTGTGGGGCTGTTTTATTAAATTAAAAAATGATTATATATAAATACACAATTACATAACAGAAGGAAAATATATCTTTAAAATCACTCACCAATTTGACTGGAGATTAATGTGTATTATAACCCAGAAAACCCCACTGTCTAAATTTATGAAATTACTGGCCAGAATTAAAAATAAACGACTTATCTGAGGTTCCCGGAGCTGTGTTGTCCAGTCGCCTGATACTCAAAAATTTTGCCCGGAATGCACATCCAACAATTTCGCCTCCTATTTGAGAGGTGTCAGCCCAATTTTAACCTCTAGAGCACGAAAAATTCTTCCCATTCACTCTAACGTTCTGTTCAATTCAAAACCAAGATGGCGAGGGCCAGTCTGCGCAGACGCAGGCTTTGCGTTTTCTTTGACATAAATATTATTAAATACAGTAGGCCATTATTTACATATAAATATGAATTTCTGGAAAATATATACAGTATTTTCCACACTGCGGCCGGCCGGAGTTTTGTTGCTAAAACGACTCAAATTACTCCTTCCTTTAGGAGACGATTCCAGCCCGGGTTTAGCTTGGTGGTTGTTCTCCTAGTAGGTCTTACTACGATTTCATTTTCCTGATACATGCAGTTTCTTCTTCAGGATACATGCAGTTTCTTCTTCAGGATACATGCAGTTTCTTCTTCAGGATATGTGCAGTTTCTTCTTCAGAATACGTTCAGTTTCTTCAGAATACCTGCAGTTTCTTCTTCAGAATACCTGCAGTTTCTTTTCGGATCCCCTGAAGTCTCTGCTTCCTCTTGTTGGGTTTTTAAGAGCCATTGACATCTTTTGCAGGGAAGAAATATTCCCCTTTAAACTAGGCGATGGAAGAAAAGGAGATAGGAGTTCCTCTTTGCAAACAGAGTTGCATATAATTAAATGGTTATAATCATTACGGTGCCCGTGGCCTGATGGCTAAAGCTCCCACTTCACACGGCGAAGTCTGGGTTCGATTCCCAGCGAGGGTAGAAACATTGGGCGTGTTTCTTTACACCGGTTGTCCATGTTCAGTCATCAGTAAAATGGGTACCTGGGTGTTAGTGGACTGGTGTGGGTCGCATCCTGGGACAAAACTGACCTAATATGCTTGAAATGTCAGCATAACAAGCGGCTTTCTATATAGTAGTATGTCATTGATGTCAGCTAGGACTGTATACCTTGTACATGTACTTGTAGTAAATAAAGATATTATTATTATATTAACCACAATTTTTAAAGGGATGGAGGGGTAAGCCAATGGAAGGCCTCAGTCAGATGACCAAAAGCTCCAGCTGCGGGTCATCATATGACTTAAGACTCGGGTCAGGAAACACGTTTTATGTTTCCTGACAAACATGAAAGTTTGAAGTTACCAAGTAAGCCAAGTGGAGCCTTTACCCTTAAACTAAGCCTCAGCACAGGTGGTGAAGTGCTTGCCATATCTTGTAAGGTTTGCATGGAGGTGTTTAAGGAAGGTTGGTGATGAAATTTGTTTTCAAAAACCGACAGATTGAAGAATGAAGCACTTATGCAACATTTTGTAATTTTTATTGAGGAAACGTTTTGCCAGCCAGTGGCTTCTTTAAGCCAATACATAAAATAACAGGGGAAGACAAGGAGTTTGAAGTAATCAGTCCCTCATCCTGGAGTCCGTGTTCAGTCCATCAATCTTGAGAAATGTCAAGTACCGAACACATCAACACCAGGCTGAGGAACTGATTGATGTATATATTGGATTGAAGAAGCCACTGCCTTGCAAAAGGATTCCTCAATAAAGATTCCCCAATAATAATAATAACATCTTTATTTCTACAAGTACATGTACAAGGTATACAGGTCTAGTTGACATCAGTGACATACTACTATATAGAAAGTCGCTTGTTATGCAAAGCACTTCGGGTGTGGATTTTTTTTACATGATTTCCTAAATGTAGAACATATAAATGAATAATATAATAATTGCGTATTAAAATGTGATGCTATTTGGGCCCTTCGACAAATTTTGAGTGAGCTGGGGGAGTATGGCGGAGAGACGCCATATGAATTTAATGTGTGAACACTGGTCTGAAATGTGCAATGTAATTAGGCGTTCTCGAAGGTCAATTGGGGTTTTCTGGCCTGAATTTGTGATGAGAACCCGTGTTAGTGTCCTCTGCTGAAGAATTGGCATAGTGTGGAAAACCCTTACAATTCGGCAACCAGGACGGAAAAATAACGGACACAAATTCTCCCAGGAGTACACCTCAGCTAAGGGATGTTTACCCATAATGTACAGTAGTTTTTGCTTTGGTTATCGTAAATTCTAGCTGCTAGGGTAAGGTTAGGGTATGTTCCATCAGCATTAGGTGTCTTTCGGTAATTAAATGGTAAGTGTTAATACCAATTTCTTTTGTGTACCCAGCAAGCCTAATCATTTACAGTTCACATTATTTTACAATTTACCATTATTGGTAACAATGTTTAATATTGTAATTGTTAATTTAATGTCAGGTCTAGCTTTTTGTGAGAGTGGTCAAGAAGTGGACATCGAGGGAGTTACAGTTCAGCAACCTACTGTGACTTAAGTCCCACTTATCTCACCCAAATTACTCACCTATAATAATTTAGGTAATTCCCAGTAAATCTCAAGCAGGTAATTTACTCACATAATAATAATTCATAATATGGGGCAGTTTTGTTCCAGGATGCGACTCATACCTGTCGACTAACGCTCAGGTACCCATTTTATAATGATGGGTGAACAGGAACAGCAGGTGTCTTATGGAAACACGTCTTAATGTTTTCCAGCCGTACCGGAGATTCGAACTCCGGGCCTCAGTATGTGAGCTGTGGGCGTTAGTGATCGAGCTTCAAGCTGCACAAGTACCTTATTCTTCAAGGTTCAGTTTAATATCTTTATTATGCACACCATACCCATCCTGTGGGTGGTAGTCAAAAAATTACAGAGGTACATAATTGGTCCAGGGACTGGACTTCAAAGTTTTGAGAGCTGAACAAGTTACAAAGATAATGAACTAGATCTTCAAGGAAGGGTGGATTAAGTTTATTTAGGTACAGGTACGCATATGTATAGATTACCTAGGATAACCCAAAATAGTCAGATAAAGTGACTTATTTCCATTGGGGTCCTTATATTTCCAATGGAAACAAGTCACTTTGACTTTTTGTGTTATCCTAGGACCTAGGTAATTTATACTATGTATGATAGTTGTAATTAAGTGTACCTATGATTAAATAAACTTATTTACGCAGTGGGGTCCGACAAAGGCCCACTGTGACCTTTGGCATCATGATTTTTCACGCTACCGCTCGCAGGATGAGCAAGACGTGCATGCTCAACTAAAGAGCTCGATACGGCGTAAGTTGTCAGTGGGCCTTATAAACCCCAAGAAGAAGAAGCCTAACATTCTCGGACTTATGCATCAGCCTTCGTTGGGTGTGAATGTCTCTCTCTCTCTCTATCGCCTGAGCATCAGTGACAAATTTCCCTCGTGGGTCACGGTCGCATCCTGGGACAAAATTTACCTAATACGGCTCTGGTGGCTAACGCTCTCGCTTCACACGGCGAGGGCCTGGGTTCGATTCCCAGCCAAAGTAGA